TTTTTTTTTTTTCTTAAAATATATATATACAGCCCTGAAGGAATACAGCTAACTTTCTGGGTTTCGTGAGAACAGTGACATTTGGCTTATCATTCATTCCATTTATCCAGTGAGTAATTTGGTACCTGTTTGATACCAGGCACCGATCCAAGCACAGAGGATACAGCAGAAAACAAGAAAAACATTGTCTCTGCCTTCCCAGAGCTTACTTGGAGAGGAGGGGTAAAGAAGATACCAAAATTAAGTAAGATAATATCAGGTAATGATACAGGCTCCGAAGAATATAAAATTCTGTAGATGTTTGCCAGGATGGCAGTGGGAGTGAGTGTGTGTGTGCGTGTTTACTAAATCTCCCTGGAGAGGTGTCATTTAAATAAAACCTGAAAGAGGGGATGGAGCCAGCTATTCAAAGATATGCGGAAGACTGTCCTAGGCAAAGAGAACAATAAAATCCATTGGTTCAGAGGACAGAAAGAAGGCCAGTGTGGCAGAAACACAATGAGTATTTTTATCTCCAGCCTAGATCTTGTCCCTGGATTCCAGAATCCGAGCTGACTGCCAGCTGCGAATCATGACTGCAGCATCTAACAGGCGTCTCGACCTTCACGTGTCCAAAACCAACCTAATTTCCTTCCCTCCTCCTGCGTCTGCACACTGACAGCTCTCTCACTACAGCTGCTCAGACTAGAAACCTTGCAGTCATCCTTAACTCTGTCTCATATCCAATGCATCAACAAACCTTAGGGCACCACCTTCAAAATGTAACTGGAGCCAGGTGTAGTGGCGCACGCCTGTAATCCCAGCACTTGGGAGGCTGAGGCAGGAGGATCGTTAGGAGTTCGAGGCCAGCCTGGGCTACAAAGTGAGCTCAAGGCCAGCCTGAACTGCATAGTGAGACCCTGTCTCAAAAAGACCAAAATCTGCCTGTCTCCTACCACTTCCCCCACTATTACTCTGGACAGTGCTGATGTGTCTGGGTCTTCTCCTTTTTTGCAAAGCAGAATCACTGAAGGTTTCCCAGGTCTGGGCAGGGAAAGTGATGCATAGCAGGGAAAGTGACAGGAGCTGACAACAACTCACAAAAACCAACTGGAAGGGCTGGGACAGCGCCTGCCTGGCAAGTGCAAGGTCGTGAGTTCAATTCCTGGTACCGGGGCGGGGGGGACCAACGGGAAAATTGGGGGGAATGTTGCAAGGTGGTTTGACACCACACCGATACCTTGATTTGCCAGTGGGAGTATTTATACCCCAGATAATGGCAAACACTGCCAGTCAGGGCTTCTCCCCACCCCAGGGATCTGAGTAGTCAGTACTTACTAGCTCACAATGGCACGTGCAAGTCTTCACTACAGAAAGTGAACTCGGGTAGGCATCTCCTGGTTCTCTACAGGAGTCTGTGTGTGTGTGTGTGCATACATTACAACCAGCTGAGGAATTTTTTTCTATATACAGCTGCTTGT